GCACCGAGCTGTGGGCACCTGTGGTGCCCGAGCCACAGGTCTCTTTGGACAAGATAATTTGATGTCTCATCCTTAAATAACGTTATCCGCACACGTGTCTGTTTCACATGAGAAGGAACAGATAGGAAGCTTGTCAACTACCAGCCATCAGGACGCCCACCATGAGAGGACGTGAGGAGGGCAGAGCACCGTTTAGAAAATCTGGCTTGTGCTTTGCTGCGCTGTAGCAATGGAAACTCCAGCTTTAATGCTGTGCTGTTGCTAATCAGACAACGTGGAAGGATCAGACAACAAAGATGGGATTTCAGTAGCCCAAGGGGCAATATTCTCCCCTAATTGCCCTCACTGAAAAGGGGAAGAGCAAGGCCAAAGCAGCCTGATGCAACAGGGTTGCTAAACAGCCTGTAATCAGAGCAGGCATCAGGAAGACATTACTGGTGCAGGCTTACTGCAAGAATTAGAAAAATGGGAGGGAATAATTAACCTCAAACTTTCACATCACTGCCGTCCCTACCCCCAGTCATTTGATTTGCCTCATAGACCTGTATCTGTAGCACAGCAGTGTGCAGGGTTTCATAGCACGTTCATGGTATCAAATAGCTGCACTGTCAGTTTGTATCGCTCTCTTACGCGAGACTGAGTGTCTGTGTCTCTGATTCACCTGCTATATGAATGTTCCTCTTCATCTGTTATTTTGCAGAAATGGCTCCAAGCAAACAGAAAGCACAAGAACAGAGCCAGGTGATTATTTTCAGTACTCATCCCACTGAGCTTTGAAATAGGACAAACAAGAATGGGTGGTTGAAGCTGCAACAGTTAATTCTCGTTTTGTCCAACAGGTGAACCTTCAACACTCTTCCTGCAAGCTATTTAAATATAGATAGTGTTCGTGGGCAAGCAGCTGTAATGAAATTATGAAAAGTAAACACTAGATAACTGAAGAGAGGTTTAAGGACACGGTTTAGTAGGCAGGGTGGTAATGAGTTTATGGTTGTACTTGATGATCTTAAAAATCTTTCCCAGTCATTATGATTCTGTGATTTTATGTTGTTTAAATCCAAAGCTGAAGTAACAGACTAGTCAGCTGTAAAGGAATCTCTCCAAACAGAGGTGAAGTGTCAATATTAAGCACCAGAGAGAAAGGTAATATAACTCCACCTGTGTCACAAGGAAGAGCCTGGCAACTTGCTCACTCATCTCCAGTTCTTCAAATATTTCAACTCCTTGTAAAGAATGCAAATTAAAAATAGGAGGAAAAAAAAAAAAAAGCCCAGCAAGTCAGATTAACAGACAGAAAATTTCTTAGCTGAAACCAGAAACCTTGCCCTGCTTCTGCACTCTAGGCCAGTAAAAGCAGTTGTCCATTGTCCATTCATTAGCAATTGTAATGCCCAGAACTCTGCAAAGTGCATTTTAAGTATTTTTTTTCCTCATAAAAGATAAGTTTAATGGGGTTCTTGTTTTGTTAGGAAGTGTGTAGTTCAGTTTTTCATATGAAAACACTCATTTGCCTTAAGAGAAGACAGAGATCTTGTTTGCATAGAGAAAAGTTTATTTAAAGAGAATAGGTTCCAATACACTATTACAAAGCAGCCACAATACAAACAAACAATACAAACCAAGCCTGAAAGGAATGCAAGCACACCATAAATATAATATTCATATGTGCCATTCAGCAAGACATTCAGTGCTACATTTTGTTGAAATATCCTCCAGTTAAAACTCGTGTCTTGGGAGGATATGAAAAGCATCAAGGTGACACAGAGAACTGAAATTTGAAACTACAGGACATCACAAATATTCACCTCACATCGATTAGGACTGACAGGCAAGCCCCACAGCTCACAAGAACACAGGTCTCAAAGGTAGGGCGGCTACACGACACTCACCATGGAAAGACTACGCTAACGGTTTGGAGCGGTGAATTGAGGGCAGATTGCTTCACTTGGGAGAGCAGGCGGTCACGAGGGTGTCCTCGAGACGGCTGGGAGACCATCTCTGGCCACTTAAACTTTTCAAAAATAGCTACTCAATTTTAAGGCCGTTACTTGGCAAAGCCTTTTAGCTCTAAGTTAAATGGCTGGCATCCAACTTCTTCCCCAAGGGACTTGACTCATCAGTGGATGGGCTCAAACTAGACAGCACTCATTCAAGAACCATAAAAGCCTTCCTGTACCTGCCTGATAAAGGGCATATTTATTGAAATGATGCATTTGAGAGAAACGTGTAAAATTCAGAACAGAATGCAGGACTGCCAAGGGGAGTCAGATTCATCGTCCACCTAGTACAATGTTTGGTCTTCAACTCTGCCAGCACCAGGTATTTCAGAATAAGGTGCCAGAGACTTTGGAGGCAAATGGGGCATAATCCCACAGGAAGCTCTCATAACAAGAGGAGTTTGACCTCTGAAGCTTTATGTGCCTTTGTATATATTGCAAATCCACTTATTTAGTGACCTATCATTTTGATTCCCGATAAACTCCTAGCTTCTTTCACAGTCTGTCTAGACAACATTTTTAACATTGATCAGTTCTCAATTTTCCCTTCTACCAATTCAGATGTTCCACTATAAATACATGACATTAATAAATATTCAACATTCTCCCAGATCTTAAAAAAAAAGAGAGAGAAAGTCATTTTCTCCCACATTTACATCCAAAATTCTTTGTTGCTTTGGTCTTTCATTCAGTCTCACAACACACGAGCACGCACTTTCCACAACGCTGAATTCAGACGCTTGTCTTGGGGGAATGAATGGCCACAAGGAATGCTATGTACGTTTAGCTAGTGTTCCACTGGTCCTCAGGCTTGGCAACAGCATATCCAAGGCAGCAGTCCTCTGCTGGTCCCCAATACCTGACAGCAACATATCATTTTCAAAGGCAAATATCCTATGGCACCAGCAGACTTTTCTACTACACGTCTTTCAGCAACAAGGCAGACTATTGAACAGCTTCAATCTTCTGAAACAGCCTGTAGGGGTTCTCCTTACCTGACCTTAAGTGCCTCCCCTCTACCCAAACAGAGCAGATAACAAGGAAGATTTTTTTCCTTGGATTAATGACATCTATGGCTCTTGTTTCAGACATGCTCCTTATTCCTAAGGCACCTTGTGATAAAACCTCTATAGAGTGGCTTTAGGAAGGGTAGGGAGACAAGAAGAAAGCATATAGACAACGAGGATAAAAATGAACTCGTTTAGGGATTCATTCTCTACCCTTATTCCATAACCACAAGGGTAGGTGCTTCTTCTCTCAGCAGCCAGACACGTGACAAGGTTCCTCTCTATCTCTAACCCCCCTTACCAGCTCCAGCACCGCAGCAACTGCTTTGGGTAAGTGACCCAGGACTGAAGGCCATGAATGAAGAAGGCTACATGTGCACACACCTTCCACACACTAGGTAAGTGCACACAGCAAAAAGAAAGGAGTGGGGTTATCCTGTAGACTAAGTTGCATAGTAACTCAACTTCCTTAGCACCTCAAGTCAGAAAACTAAGCTCTTCCTCCCCTTGGATCTAAACATGTATTTTCATCCTATCTGTACAATTAAAAGGCTTGCTATGAAAAAACAGGAACTATTAAATGGTCTCAGACATGATTTTGCAACTAGAATAAATAGGACACCAATAACCTTTAAAATAAGTCCATGTTATAGGTCTCTAAATAGAGTTTGAGAGTAAATTAAATCTGTACAAGCAGACTGATTTAAGCAGTTTTAGCTTTAGTAAACTTCAGTGAATACATACAATTTAAACTTACGCCATTATATATATATACACACACACACCAATAGTATATATACCAATGGTGTGTGTGTGTATATATATATATACACCCACACACACCAATAGACATGAGGAAAAAAAAAAAGAGAGAACACAGCACATAGCTCATGACCTTTTCAGTATTAAAAACTGCCCAACAGATTGTTATAAAGTTTCCATTATTGTAAACAATTATACAACCTGATTTTTGTGCAAGTACTGCACTACAGGTTTGTCCTATGTCTCTGGTTCAATATGTAAGTTTTACTCCTAGATTTAAGTTATTTTCAAAACAAAAATGGGAGAAAAAAAGCCCTTGCTTTCATTAAAGCAAAATCAAATTTAAAAAGCAAATAAATTTAAAAAAAAAAACACTTTGCAAAATGCGAAAGAAGCTTCTTCCCCGATTGAGCTTTTTGAATTTCCAGATAGAATGTACAGGGAGAACAAGCACATTTTAAAAACCTATCTTCCCTCTACAGAAACAAAGAGGGAAATTCCTTTTCTAGAGAATTGAGTTCCATCCCTGAAGTGCAACTGCCATCTTAGTTCACTTGCCCATGTAGACCAAAATGGTCTGTAGGCCTCCAATTAAAATAGAAAAGGTTTCCAACGCTGTATCTAATCCTGCTGTTTTGCTGAACCAGGTCTAAGAGACAGAGAAGGCAAAAAAAAAAAAAAAAAAGGGATGCATGAGAAGCAGGCAGTTTACTTCTTTGAACCAACTATGTTTTCAATTTTGCATAGAAATGGCTGCTGCTAATCACCAAAGCCATGCAGCCAAACTATTCAATTTATCAGAAACCGAAAAAAAATAAGTATCTTTCCAGAGACAAGTTGCCACTTGGATAATGAATGATATTTAAACAGAGAAACAGGATGTTCATGTAATATGGAAATCAAAAAGCAAACAAAACCAAGAATTATCCTGTACAAATGTGAAGCCTCTGTTTCCTGCAGATGAAATATTCCATGCCTAAGACTATTTTGTGTTTATAAGAGATACCAGACACTTTGGGGAAGCGTAAGCAGTGAAATAACACACTGCAAATCCTTTCTGTTTCACTGCAGCAGGCACATCCATGGGTACAGTGTATTTTCAGGGCAAGCATACCAACTGGGATGGCACACAATATTCAGTGCTGCTATTTGGTTTTAGCCATAAAGACTAAGAAATGAGGACAGATATAAACAAATGACCTGAGCCTCACAAAAAAAAAAAAAAAAAAAAAAAAAAAAAAAAAAAGGTTCACATTTCATAAAGCTAGAATTGGGCAGCAGGATTACAATCTATAGGGTACCTATCTTAGCTAAACCCACTATTAGCTTGATAACTGGGTACATACCTATTTCTTTCAATGAGTAACCAAAATTAATTGTGAGACAGGCTTTGTCAGTTTGTTACAATGTGAGAAAATGTATTTCTCAATTTCAGTACGAGCAAAAGACAGTTTAGTGTGCATGGGGTAGCAGGGGGAAGGAATTGAAAATTAGCAACAGGGAGACAGAATGCAGCGGGAAGTTTTTATTGGCACTAACTAGTTAGGTGCAGTTAAACGGTGCAACTGAGGATCAGTAATTCTAGAGTACCTGATGTATATATAGGTCCTTTCCTTTGTCATAAATATAACCTAAATTAGAAAGTGGCCTGCGTGACTGACAATGCATCATATGTTAACTAGCAGGCGTGTGTGCAGGGTCTTCCAGAGCACATAGCAAAGGACCAAAGGCAGTCCCTGAATGCGGAAATTCTGGCGTTTCAGTCAGAAAGAGAGGTTGAAGTGTCTTTTCTGTTTAGTGCCTGGGAAGCTGATAGCCAAAGGATGAGAAGAGGGGAGAGCCATATTCAAGTTGCTCAAACCTGATTATAAAGATGTATAATCTGTATAAAGATCTCCCCCCAAGAGGAGTGTTAAAGGAAGAAATACTCCTGATTTGGTTGCTAAATGAAAAAAGGGCCTTCCTCAGGCACCAAGCCCTGCTGTCCTGCCTGCTGGGGCTTCTCACGCAGTCGCCCCTCTGGAATAAGGCAGCTTTGCAGTTCATCCTAGCTGGGTTCCTTCACACTCTTTTTCCTTCAAGAAAACATCTCTTTCCTGCCCCCTCCTCTCAGGGTCCAGAGCAGCAACTACCCTGCTTCTTATCCTGAACACCTCTGCTCCCTGCCTCACCCCGAAAGCCACTGGGCTCCAGCCAACGTCCTCTGCGTTTCCACTCTTCCCGCTCAGCGAGACTGGCTTGGGCTGCTCTGCTGTAGGTTTCTCTCTCTCTCTCTCTCTCTCATCTTTTTCACCTATTAAGTGCTTCAGAGAGCTGAATACATAAACAGAGGAAGTTAAAAGAATAATCTTACTACAGAATAAATTGCAGAACATTAAAATATAGCCTTAATAGGAAATATGCAGCCCTCCCAGGAGGGTGAAATCTTTGGTTTTAACTACCCAAAAATCATTTTGTCCCTCATTCCCTCTCAACAGAGGGAGCAGACCAAGTGGAGGTGCATTACCTAGAGGATTTAAAAACAGAACTTGGAACTCTACTAGAATCACCATGCAAAGAGTCATTTTGCATCTCTGCAAAGAGGTATCAAAATGTAAATACAACAGTATTCTTAAAAAGATAATGATTAAGTATTGAAATAAAAAAAAAAGAACTATAATGAGTTACAGATAAATGTGACTTAAAATTCACCTCTGAAGGATTAAGTTACTCCTTGCTCAACGTGCCAACACTTGAGCAGAAAGTGATTGCTGCTGCCATTGCTGGCCATCAAAACCATCCTCTACCACGTGCTGAGGGTTGGCAATGGCTTTGTCGATTCTGGTTTATAGAAAAGATTAGTTAAATCCCACACCTTTTGAGCTTCTGAGCAGATGTGCTTTTGTAACAGTACCTTGTAACAGCAATAGCAGCTGACAAGCTGCCCTGGGGAACATTTTCTTTACTATAAACTATATTATCCAGCTGGCAGCAATACTAGTGAACGAACATGCTGCTGCTAAGAGGCATCTATTGTGTATTTATTGGTTGTGTCCCAATCTGCTTGCTGGTTTCATATTTATTCAGCACTGTAGTAAGCTTTTTTCTTCCACTTCACATCCGTATTACAAAAAAACCTCTTGGTGGTCACTGGAGTTTTAACCAGCTACATATCCCTGTAATCAATGGATGCAATATCCAGTTTTTAAGATCTTCCTATGGACCCTGAGGTATACCCCACCACCACACGCTCCATACAAACACCCGGTTAGTGCACCACTGAGGGACTCGCTGTTGTAACACGGTCTGGCCACTGCAACAGAGGCTGTCACTGCATCCCCACACAAGTAAGTGAAGGAAAGAAGCACTGGCTGGTGGTAACACAGAGTGGTAGTAGGTGATGACATTATCAGTGGTAGGTGACCAACCAGCCAGTTGCACCATTTTGGCCAACAGCCGCCTGCCCTCTAGTTACATAGATGCAGCAGAAGAGTCTGAAAAGTTATTTACAAAACAGTAACAAATCAAGGAACATTTTGACTTCATTTCGTACCAGTGCAAAAGAAAGAAGCTACAACCAGCTGAACATGGCCTCTGGACATATCCTGGCTGTGATAAGAAGCCCCAGGCTGAGGCCTCTTCAGACCAGGTCTCCTGAGGTTTTATCAAAAGAGCAGCTGCCTGTGGACAGTCAGGCAGTCACAATTATCTTCTTCAGTGGGTCAGCTGGGAAGGAGGGTTGGGGGGAAAGCCAGTCTGTATCTGAAGAGCTGGCAGAGTCGTGTCTTGACTCTGTAACACAGCAGTGCCCATCAGGGAGGCCCAGGGTGGCTGGCAGCCTGCTACACTCACCGGTACTTGCCTGCTGTCCCTGCCCCTCCGTCCCTTCAGCTGGTGTAATAAACGTGAAAGAACAGAGTTTTATTGCGGAGGAGAGAGTAGGAGTTATCAAACTTGAGGAGGTAGATGCCTTCGCCGGGGTAGTCGTGGCTGCCTGCCTGCACCTCCCGATGGCTGTCTCTCCGATACACGGGCATGATCTCCCCGTAGCGGCTCCGCACGCAGCTTTTGGAGCCCCTTTCCACATCCCCAACAGGGGCGAGTCCTGAATAGGGAAGAGGAGACAACAAATAGGACAGAGCCAGGTAAGACGCAAGACCCTCTAGAAAATGATGGACAAACCCAGAAAATATCACAGGTATGTAAATACAAAAAAAAAAAAAAGTTGACTACGATAGCATTACATGTAATGTCTGCCCTGACCTCTGCTCACAAAGTCCAACTTTTCCTACTGTGACAAAAAAATATTTAAAAAACAGTTCTTTTGGGAATAATATGGAACAGCGGCCACATATCTAACCTCCTCTCCTGGCTAATACCTTTCAGACACCTAACTACTTTTACACACATCACAACAAGTTCTCCTCAGTCATCCAGTGATACTGACTTGGGGCAAAAGAAAGCTGGGAAGGGTCTTAGCAATAACCTTATTTTTTCTGCATGTCCTCAATTCACTTTTCCATGGGGATTCCTCAAAAAGAAGAGATTCCTGCAATATTTGTTTCAGATACCAATCCCTCCACCCCCATTTAAGAATGCTCTTGGAGAAGGACAGCCTTTAACACATACTGAAACAGGAAATGCTAAATGCTTTCTCACCACAGCGTAACCAAGAACCCAAAAGGCTGCAGAGATAACAAACGGGCTGCGTAAACAAAGATGGAAATTACAGCATCTGACAGATGCTCTCAGCAGCAAGGCAACAAGCTTCATAAGTTAACCCTTACAAGTTGTGAACCAGTACCTTCAATTTCCTCCTCCTCCTCTTCATCCTCTTCATCACTGGATTCGCTGACCTGAACAGTAATGGCAGTGGTAGTCACTGTAGTCCAATCAAAGTAGACTCCAAATCCAATGTCGTAGTCATCTGTGGCAAACTCCCAGCAGACACGTTTCCCATCAGGATGGGTTGGCACATGGACTGTCACTACCTCGCCTCGCTTCACCACCATCCGGCCATTCTTCTCCTTTCCCATCCTGGCTTTGAATTCCTTCATCTTCTCAGTGGTCCAGGTCGTGGGTGGAGCCAGAGGAGGAGGCTGAGCTGAGAGAAGGGATAAAACCATCAGCTCAGCTCATTTTTCACTACTGTCACACTGTTATCTGAAAACAGTGAAACTATTCCTGATAAGACTCTTGCAATCCCGAGCCTACTCTCAGAAATCTTGGATGTGAAGTCTTCCCACTCACTAGCCATAAACCCCCAGGAGGAGTCAGCAGTGCCTGCAAAGCAGCCTCTGTTCTTTCTGCCTGGGTCAGGCACTGATGCTTCAAAGCCAGGCAAGATTCATCTGCCCTTGCAGGCCTCACCTTTCCTCTGCTCCCCCAGGAGGTCTGCAGTCTCCAGCTCAGCTGAAAGGATATCCACAGCACCCGTGTGATCCGACTGAATCATGACTATATCCCCTGCTCCTTGAGGTACGTGGTATTTGGTCATCCGAACAACAGATTCCTGCACAAGACACACACACAGAGCCACCAAGAGCATCACGGTAAGAGTTCTCAGTGGATTTGAAGCAGCTGGTTAGTAACCCAGGCGTCTTTCTGAAGCCAAGTCAGCCCTGCAGAAGCTTCTGTTACAGTTACAAAAGAACTGTCTGGCTCTGACGCACATTTCTATTATTACCCCCATAACACCAAAGTCATGAAACCAAATGCCACCCATGTGACACCAATGTCACATCTGACACACACCTTGGCCCTCCCCTGTCTCAGAAGGAAGTCTCTCTGGACAGGCCAATCTGGGTATCTACCCCAAAGCTACTGTCATTACTTGCAAAGCAACAGCCTTCCAAATATAGCTGACTATTCTCAGAAAGCATTCCTAAGACACTCTCCCTCCAGGGACAGCCCTTCAGCTCGGTCTGCATCTGACTGCAGCTACAATTGCACTGACATTTGCTGTGTCCTAGTTAAACATCCATCTGGTTTAGCAGGCCCAGCTCTCTCTCCTCATATATGCAAAACACACAGCCCTTTGCTGTGCGCCAGGTGCGACTTGCGCAGGTCTCCGGACTGTATTTGTAATGCAAACAAACTGGCTGCTCACCAAAACCAAACAAACAAGAAAAACAAGATAACAGAGTCCCTTCGGCTTCCTTCCTCAATAAATCTACTAGAGGGTAATTCCCAGAAGTCCCAGACAAAAGGTAGAAGGTGAAAATAACCTTGAAGCCTTGAGCCAAAAAAAAACAGCAAGGGAACAAAGACTACCCCAAGATATGAGAGGGATTTTTACAAGGCAGACTGACAACTCTTTCCTCCTGCTAACATAAAGAAGAAATAACTGAAACTACATTGATATTACTTCTGTTTCAACACAGCCCTTGAAGCCTCTGTCTCCTGGGCATAAGCACAGCCGTAGCCCAGAGGAAACATCACTGTACCTCTTTCCTTGATTTCTGACAGAAAGTGACCCCACCTACCTCTTTCGGGGAATGGATTTGGTCAGGCAGCTTGTCCTTCAATTCAGTTACTTTCTGGTCCTCCAAAGTGCCATCTTCGTCCTTCAGACCCCGTGCAAGTGACCCAATCTGCGACCTCTCAGAGGAAGAGAGCATTTCAATTCAGTACTTAAGCTCAGACACAAGTGGCAGACCACAGTCACGGCAGACACCACTACAGGATCAACACTCAAAAGGACTGAGGGAAAACAAGCTTCCTATAACCACAACCCATCACCAGTTAGTTAACCCTCACCTGCAGCTCTACCTTCCCTCCATGCTACCCAGAGGGAAACTCCCATGAGCTCATGCCCTGTTTATTGCCTTTTAGAGAGCAGCACTTCACAGCATCCTCCCCACAACATGCCAGCTTGTTAATGCTATACAAAGAAAAAAAATGCTGAAGAAAAGACAACTACTTCTACACCTGACCCTATATGACATCTACATATCCTATTACAGGTCAGCTGGATCAGTGGAAGAATCCTGAACGCTTTTGAAAGCCATACTGAAAATGTCCTCTACTCAAGTGGCCCATCATGGCTTTCATGTTAGAAAACCCAAGGGGTAAAGAGGACATTTGAGTCCATCTCTATCATTTTCACTAACAAGCAAGCCATAAATTGTGCAATGGCAGCACGATAATAGTAAAGAACTCCAAGCACTGCACTGTGAGGAGATGGGGATATTAGAACAAAAACAAAGCTACACAGCAGGAAAAACAAAAAACATGAAAGGAAACATCCTTGGCATTCAGTCGCTGTTGAATGATTTTTTTTTCTAAATTGCTATTAAAAATGCTATCTATTGCTGAAAATAATGAAGCTGCCTCAAAATAAATGTCATTAACACGTATACTGTCATCAATACGTGTCCTCTGACATACTCTTAAGTGCTATGTGAAATTGTCATAAGAAGTGAGCTAGTCTTTAATAAGAATAGAAATGGTTTCATTTCTGAGAAGCAAACCACTTCCCCCATGGCAGTACAAAACCAATGCCAGTTTCCCAAGTCTAAAAAGTGAGAAACAAGAGAATGGAGCAGTTACAGAAAATATGTACATTATCTGAAATTTCTGCTTTTGGAATCAGAAATATTCTGATTAGCAAAGTGGCAGGATATGAATATGGTGTGGAATAGTTTTTAAATAAATAAAAGGGAAAAAATAAACAGAAAGGGCTTAATTCAGATGCAGTTTGTGCTGTGTCTGTAACAGAGGCAATCAGAAACAAGCAAATGTGTCTCTTGTTTCCAGATCTGTACTCCTATGGGGAGTGGAGGCTGGATCCTGAAAAGCTATTTCTTACTCAAGAAAATGCTCTCAGTGCTGCAATTTCCTCTCCTGGAAATGGCACAACACACCAGAAGGTCTGTAAGAACAGCTCTAATGAGCCGAATGCTGGGATACTCAAAATGCCAGACAATAGCAGAAAATAAGGAACGCTTGCAGGGGACAGTGTTTTTTGTTTTGTTTTGTTTTAAAGGAAGAGCTCTCACAGCAATTTGTAAGCGTCTCCTTGGTAGTCTAACAAATTATAACTTTTGTATCATCATTTTCCATCACTTTGCTTTTTATCTTAAGAAAAACACAGAGATAACACACAGATAACTGTCACACCAGACAGCCTATTTGGTCCCCGCTACCATACATGTACACATCTGCTCAGAAGGTTACCCATCGGCACAGGATCTGACAGCTTGACACAGTTTCTTTTCTTTCCTTTTTCTCCAAATATGACTGAAGCCCCAGAGGGTCACACAAAGATTAGGAGCAGCTACACAAGCTTTATAGGCAGATTTAAAAAGTTCACCTGATTCTTCTTCATATACCCCTTTGGGATGACTCCCCTTCCTTTCAAAGGGGATCTAACAAATAAATTTGTCTCATAGCATCTACAAGTATCTGACATCTGGTTTGGCCCTTTCCCTCACAGCCTATATTTCTTCAAAGAAAATTAGAGGACATAGTAAAGTGAGATGGAAGAAATATGCTTGGATTCAAGAAGGCTGCTAGAAAATTTCATTAGCGTTCAGAGAGGACGACCTTCACCTGCTGTCTAATTTACTAGGTTTTGTCTTTTCCAGTGAGGTTGTGTTCTCCTGAGCGGGGGTCCTAACGCCTCATGGCTGAGCTCACGCTTCTCTGAGGCTCTTCTCTGCACAGCAGACGCGCGGTCCTAGCGCTGCTACCAGTCTGACCACGAGGCCCCACAGGCCCCACAAATGGATAACAACAGGCCAACCCTTGATAACGTGGTGTATTAATAATATTAAGGACAGCATGAACAACAAAGACATGGAAGACAAAGGGTGAAGAAAAAGACACTGTCAAGAAGGCAGCAAAAGGTGGTTTCTTTCCCAGTGGCCCCTGGTGAAAATTCTCACACTGCCCCAAGGTGAGAATTCTCCTTTGGAGAGGAGGGAGAGAACAATTTCCTGTCAAAAAATTATCAGCTCTTAGTGAGGCTTGACTATATAACTTTTAAGCATTTCTGTAAATCTAAACGATTCTGTGGCTTTAACAGCTGAGCCATAAGCTATGCCTTATTATTTTTACAGAACCCAAACAATCATCAGCCTACAAGAACAACTTCTCCTATACTGATCCGCAGGATGGGGACATATATGTATATCCTCTCTACTGTCCCAAAAGGGCAGCTCGGTCCTTCCTCTCCACCTAGACTGCTGCGGCTGCCAGACACAGGGGGCAAGAAGGCAGAAACAAGTTGTCATGCACATGGGTCATGGCACAGAAATATTTTGCTACCTGCACTGGGGCCCACTGGACTCCAAAGAATCAGCCGGCTGATCTGCAGGCTCCGTCTTTCGCGTTGAATCTTCATTTTCTGGCAATGAGCAGGACACATGGAAAAAAGATGGAAAAAAAATGTTTAAAACCATGCAGACAGGCTGGCAAACTATAGGCAGCGCTGGAATGTTGATAAGGTCAGAAGCTGTGGAAACGAGAGCTGTGCAAGAAGCTTTCATGTTACAGGCTGCCTCCCTGTCCCGCAGAACAGGAAAAAAAATCAGTCTCTAATGACCCTGAGAGAGGACGCTCGCCTCGCCTCCCTTCCCACCCCCCCAAGAAAAAAAAGCATGTTTGGGAACCT